ACAAAAAACCTTTTCTTCCATCTCTTCCAGACATTCTTACCGATGGCCCATAAATACCTAAGGGAAAGGAAAAAGACCAAAGTGGTATTAATGCATGAATGAAGACATTGTTTAATACTCTTTACTGTGAAGCTTGGTACTCATAAACAAGGAAATGCACGTGGCTCAGAAACAGAAAGCAGGTTTTTGGGGCTGTGTGTTAGAGGAAAAGAAACAGCAGGCAAGGTTCACTTCTACTTATAGGAGGAATTGGGGCCCCTCCTCAGACTTGACTTGGATGCTTTCATTCCAGAAAACACCTTGGAAAATGTTACACTGTGATTTAACTTGTTTATGTGCTAAAAGTTTGTAGGAAACTCCTGAAAGGTGTTGTGCAAGAGAGAAAAAAAGTGCTAAATCTCACAACCATTAACCGTTTACCGCTTGTCAAATCTCATTCAGGAAAACCTTCCCTCATTTTCTTTGGCTGTAATTCTGTCAAATGCAGGTACATTACAGGGGAGAAATTCCACGTTAACACAGAGAGTCCTCCCTATACTCCGTCCCCTTTCCCCAAATGCTCTTCTGTTGATGGCAATTAATCTTTAAACAGAAAAATGAAAAAGGAGGGTTAACAACTACAGAGGTACAGATCAGGGGTGTCTGCAGATTTCAAGATGAGTGTTAGTAATTCACTCATGAATTAGCCCGTTGGCCTTGTGGATAGTTCCATGAACGGTCATTGATCAAGGAAGTGAGGCTGGTGGTCTTCAGGCGCTGTTTGACCAAGTAAGAAGAGACTTAGTCATACTCCCATACATTCAAATACTTGAGTTCCCAAACTGGCTTTACCTGTTATCAAAACCACTGGACAATTTCCAAATCATTACTTCACCAAGAATCAGACAATTCCACTTTGGAACAAAAAGAAGAATGGACCTACTTAAACTTTTTACTGTTTAACAAATGTCAGGGGGTCTTGGAGTGACTGGTGGCCGAAATCTACTCAGACTTTCAAGCCAGGAACCTGGAAATCATCCTGGGTCCTTCTGTTTCCTCAGCTATTCCTCCACTGCCAAGTGCAGTTGATTTTTACCTCCTGCAGAGTTCTTCACTCTGCTGGCTCCCAGCCACATTTTTGCTTCCATGGACAACTCTAGGGGAACCTCTTAATGGGCTCCAAGGACACCAGGAGGCTTTTTATCCGCCCCCTGGTTGTGAGATACATTCCACCATCTACAAATGCTTTCTTGGCTTTCCCTGCTGAAGCTCCTTCAGTGTGTCTCCCCTTTTACATGAAGAGAGCCCCAAACGTTGGCTACTCACATTCCACGTTCATGATTTATCCCATCTGTCCATCTAGTCTATGATTTACCTGAAANGTCATAGCTTCTCTTGGTGGAAGCTTCAGTGTGCAGGCCCTAAAACATCTGTGTTCTAGGTGCATGGCCTAAAACTCATTTTCTCCTTTTCCACTCAGCACATATTGTACAGACATGGCTTCCTTGACATTTTGGGCACATTTCTTCTTGTTTTTTTCCTGAAGAGTTTTCCCACCTAAAATATCTCCCAAAGTAAGAGGTTAGCTACTTCCCTAAGAACTTCATCATTTCAAAGATTCTCAGAGAAAAGTCATGTGTCCAGTGGAGCAGTAACTGGCTACCTCAGAGTGGGAGGGGAGACTCCATATCATGGTGAGAAGGCCACTTGTCCCACTTCCTCTGGGAAGTCGTCACCCTCCAGGCCATATGATCTTTCCTTTCTCAGAACCACTTGAGCCTTGCCTGGGCTCATCTCCTCTCTTCTTCTTCCTTCTTTCTTCCAGCAAACATTTCCTGAATGCCCGTGCCATACACTGAGCTAAAAAGGATGTATGTGTGTGTGTGTGGGGGGAGGATGGGGGGAGGAGGAGGACAGGGAGGGAAGGGCACCAAGATGAACAAACAGAACTGGCCCTGAAACAGTGTATAGTCTATTGAGGGAGGCTGGGCAGTCTCGCAAGTGACTCCAGGAGAGGCTGATATGCCAAGTGAGAGTACTGAAGGGGAGAACCATCCATAATTCAGCACTGCTTCTTTTGACGTATCTTGTTTCTCCGTTTGTACTGTGCTCTCTTTGGAGTGGACATCAGCTGTTTCTGCCTGCCCAGCATCCATTTCTCCTTCTGGAAATGACATCCTGATTTTGTATGGGACACAGCTCAGTGGGCCTGTTAATGAAAGTACCATGGCCTGCCCCTGCTAAAGGTTGGATGTGTTACCCAAGCTGGACCAACCCAATTCTCTCTCTCTCAAATTTGGCCCTCAAGTGGAGATGCGAGGATAGGAAACGGTCAGAGCCAATTTTGTCTTATGACCACATCGATGCCACTGGCCATGGACGATGCCACTGGCCATGGTTTCCACCACCTGGATTTCTGGAAGTAGTCTGGGTCCTGTATGTAATAGGGACTAGTCATTCAGCTTTCTCAACAATCCCATGAACTACCTCAAGAGGCTTCTAATACATTCCTTTTCTTTTAAAAAACAAATCTTAATTAGCTTGAGTCTATTTCTGCTGTTTTATATTAAGAACTGTAACAGATACTCTTCTGGAAGTGTGAGACTGGGCCTCGTAGTTTTTCTCTATGACCTATCAATGTGCCTTACACAAGGTAGGTACTCAATGAATATTGGTCAGTTGATAGTCTGAGGAAATACATCTCAGGATGAAATGTATTCCATTGCCTAGCCATGTATTATTTTGGAGGGTTGGGGAAAATTCCAAAGCTTTCCTTCGGTTAATTTATTTTAAGGTCTTGTTGCACTCTGTAGCAATCATAGAAGCAAAGATTACCTCTTGTTTACAGCCAGAGAGATACATTTTGTCTTAGTGGCAGAGACTTGAGTAAATCTGTAGATCTAGTCTTAGAAGCCCAGGGTCGATGAAACNGTGAAAGCTATTCCCAGTCAAATGCATGTTTCTCTGTCACAGTAAAACCCTACTTAAACTGTATTTTAATGAAAATTAATGAGTTAGTACTGTTGTAACGATGGCATAAAAGAGCCTAGAATATACGTTAGAGAGTCAGCTACCCCAGGCTAAGAGCCTGGACTAGAGCAACAGAAAACATGCAGAGCTAGTAATCTCAAATGACAGCTGAAACGTGCACTTTTGAGGTGAGGGCTTAAGGACTACAGTTTTTAACATCTTTGGGCTTTTCAGTTGGTATGTACCATCTCATGGAATCATGCGATAGGCTACAGGGACTTCAGAGTCTAGAGTCTTTGAGGCTTTGTTTTAAAGTTGGCTGAATATTAAGTACACAAGGAACCCCTTAGCTCATTTCTAACAGTTATTTAAATTAGGAAAAGGTTTTAAATAATGTTTTCTTAAAGAGTGGATTGAGGCCACCTTTGTTATTTGTATGTAGTGGGGGTAGGTTACAAATATGCAGATTTTTAGGTCAGACCAATTAACAGGATCTTAGGTCAGGATGGACCTCGAGAATCTATATTTTTCATAACTATCTCAGATATTTCTTAAGGCACACTAAAGTTTGAGAACCATTGTTTTATCATATAGGAACTATCTAGAAATTTTAAGGTTGCCTTGAGTTTCAATTATATTTAGCAACTAGAGTCTAGTTATCAGATAAATTAGTTCTGTGTTGTCCCTGACTCCCCCCTCTTCTTCCTCCGGCAGATTCTTTCATTCATTCATTCATTCATTCATTCATTCATTCATTCAGACAACAGCACTTGGGTATATGTTTGGTGCTTGGAGTATCAAGATGTACAAAACCAGGTTCCTGCCCTCATGTCTAGTGGGAAGGCAGACATTAATCACATTGTTTCAAAAATGTATAACTTTAATGGTGATAAGTATTAAAAAGAAAGATGATACTTAAGAGCTTGGGGATTTGGTTTAGCTGGGGG